TGTAGTTGGTTGGATTAGGACTAACTGTTGTAACCAAGCTGGTAGTGGGAAGAATTAACAGTAGAGAGAAACATTCTAATCAATTTAAAATCAGCTTTCTGATCGGAGTAGGCAAACACACATGAACAGTTTGGGATTCTGTGGGTTTGTAGAAGTCAGGAGCTCTGTGAACAGAGCTGTGCTGTGCGAAGAATGGCTAGTGGCTGTAGGGGAAGGCATCCAGCAGGCAGTTTTCCCTGAGTTCAGCCACAGACGGATGCCTGGAGGACTCTGTGTGCAGTAGTCCCGTGATCTCTGCCGTGGTCTACGGTTGTTTATTGTTAGGTGTTGTCACTGATGCCTTATGTGTGTCTCAGATGTAAACTTTTTTCTCTCTGCTAGAGGATCAGGTGAATGTGTACTTAAAAACTTGAACAGTGATTACTGTGTATTCAAATAATTTTGGTGCAGGAAAGGACTACAGAGATTTTAGTTAAATTATTCCTTTAGTGGAGGTAGAGTATCATCCAGGAAGAAGCTAGAAAGAAAATCTTAACGAAAAAAATAGAGTCAAAAGCAGTGTTAAGAAGAATATGAGACAGCAAGAGCATGAGAAAGAATTCTCTATTATTAGATCCTTAGATCCTTAGAGATGGCCCCTAAAGAGGTCCACATCCTAATCCAGAACCTGTGCATATGCGACCTTCCGTGGCAGAAGGGACTTTGAAGATGTGACCAGGATGAAGATGACCTTGAGATGGGGAGATAAGGAGCCGCAGACCTTTTCTGGCTATGGTCGGAGGGAGGGGACTGCGGAGGAAGGGTTGGGTGCAGTGCTACCGGCTTTGAAGATGCACGGAGGGGCCTCTAGCAGCTGGAGAAGGCCAGCCTAGAGCTTCCAGAAAGCAGCACATCCCTGCCAACACCTTGATTTTAGCCCAGTGAGACCCATTTCAGACTTGTGATCTTATAGAACTGAGAAGTATACATTTGTGTTCTATTAAGCCCATGAATCTGTGGCCGTTTGTTATTGCAGCAATAGGGAGCAAAGAGACACAGGTGTGCTTTGTCTCGGGGGACTTTGGGCCCACTTCTGGGTGAGTGCTGAACCAAGAGAAGGGATGCACCACTGTTGGAGAGCAGGATTTGGATCTCCACGCCGCCTTTGTGGTAGGAATGATGGTAGGCTTCTCCTGTGCAGGTGGGAGCAGAGGACAGTAACAACTGTTGGTTTCCTCACCATGAAACTGTGAAGAGCATCTGAAAGAGAGACACAGAAAAATAACCGCTGGACATTGTAACAGATCAGGAATGATGAGTGCACTTGTGAACCCTGGGAGGAAGGAAAGAGATGAGCACTGTTGACAACACTGTGTGTGGTTTTAGATCTCTCTCATAATAAAGAAATCTTGCAAATCACTGTGAGAAGACAGCTGGACATAGCAGATATCTCTTGTTACCTTGTTGCCACCTTCCCCACAGACTGGTCAGCTCATGCATGTGTTCAGCATCACCTCTCTCCTTCTAGACTAAGGCTTTGGAGGGTAAGGGTTCTGTCTTACCCATCATGTGTGTCCACTGACCGAATGAGGGAGTGAACATTCAAGAGTGAACGAACACGAAGGAACGGTTTGCAGGATTTCTTTCTACCAGTGGAAGGGTCATTATTTCTTTCCAGAGCATTGTCTAAAAGTTAAGTGACCAAGTTGAACCAAGCAGAATCATAAAAAGAACTTTTAGAAATGAAATTACAGTGTCATCTCACTAGTATGTAATCAGGGAAACGTAAATTACAATAACAATGAAATGCCCCCTCCCTTCTGTGGTCTGTCACATTGTTAAACACTTTAAGATTGATTTTTATCCAGCATCAGCATGAGATGAAGGACAGTCTGTAACATTATGTGCCAAGTATAATTGGTGTAGTTTCCCTGGTGGCCGTACTTCCAAAACGTCACATGTTTAAGTAGTTTTGGACCCAGAGCGTCTGTTTCTAAGCAGCATTGCTGGGCACATATGAGACCAGCTAGAAGCTCTTGCATAGTGTTGCGTGCATCTCCACTTCCCTCTCTCCCCTGGAGCAGGGAAGCCACCAAGGAGAGAACTGTCCACCAGTAGTGGAATGGCTCTGGAGGCTGCGTGCTACGTTCCTGATAAGATAGAAGCATGGTGCACACACTGGCTAGAGTCTTTCATCCTCAAGAAAAATTCTTTTCCTGTGAATAGCTCATGTGAAAATTAATCAGGAAAATTACATATTTCCAAATTCTGGGATACGATATAGACAAGTAAAGGGATATTTCAAAGTAGCCAAGTGTAGGTTTATATACTCTAGGGTGGGATTGTCATGGGACATCAAAGCCAAGGGTAAGATACTTAAATTTAATTCAGCTGCCATGAGTGGCATATTTATTATAAACTGTTGTCCTGTTAGCTCCCTAGAGATCCTTTTCTAAATGTATGTATTCCAGAAATAATACATGCATACGTTTCCATATTGTAGTAATGTTGGGTTTTTTTTTTTCTTGAGTATGCATTCCTTACTAAATATTTAGTTCTCAAAGTTATTTTTCAGTTACGCAGAACCAAATATTTGGTTCTCAAAATTATTTAAGTTACCGAGTGTATGTACTGAGCTTCAAATATATGTCCTTGTATATTCATAATCTTGGCTGCCATTCAGACTGAGTCAGCAATGAGATATTCAGGAGTTCTAGAGAAATAACACAATATGGGAGCATAATGAAATGTCTGTGTGTTTATTGCTTTTAATTTTTTAGTGGAAAGTGTAAGTTGCAACCTTGTTTAATCAGGAAGTCCTGCAGGATGGGAACTCTTTGTTCAACAAAATCAAACCTGAGGTCATTCTGAGTGTCTTCAGGTAGTGTGATCAAGTGAATGGACTGAAATCGTATCTATCCCATAAAACTCCAGATTGAGAGCCTGCTTTTTCCCTTGGGCTCCACAGCTCTGGACTAAGTGTCTGTACACTTGCCTCTGTGCCGGTGGGTGCTTGTGTGCCCATTACTTGACAGGTCATGAAGATAACTTTTGCTAGGGGTCATCAGGGAAGGCATCCAGAAGGGTGGGATTTCTCCCGGACTGTTGATGCCACCACATGCAATGGTAAGAAACCGTTTGTGCCCAAAGGATGGATGCACTGGGACGGACGGTTGGGAACAGATGCGAACATGAACTATGACCCTAACGAGAGAGAGGTGGCTCTGGGATTTGCTAGCAGTGAGCTGCTGTGGAGTAAAGAGAAGATGTGCTAAACCCAAGCCTCAGTGAGGGCGGCCGGTGTCGGTGTGCACTTGGTAGTGCATTGGCAGAGCTGGGACAGGAAGACAAAGCGCTTTTGTGGGAATTTGAAAGAGGCGCCAGCGCCTGTCCTGTGCAGCTCAGGAATTTGTGGTGCTGGCAAGGAGAAGCTGCAGAAATTGCCTCGGCGAGGTTTACTAGAAACGGATGTCTCTTCCCCGAGGCAGATCCCCCACGCCAGAGTGCACGAGGTGAAGACTAGGGGGCGGGCTGGGTTTCAGCTCCCGCTGCTGCTTGGCTGGGTGCCTTTGGGTAGGCACAGACTGCAGCGTCCTTCACGGTGGCCCCCATCAGAAATTCCGGGCCTGGAATCCAAAAGCCAGGAAGGACATTGATGCCTACTTCAGTTTCACCCAGACTTCTGTGCACTGCACACGTTCTTCCTGTCCCACGGAGAACTCATCTGCTCCACTGAGTGGCCTTTGACTCCTCCAGCCCTGTCCTTTGTCCGTGCTTTCTCCCCGCTGCCACGTTGACTCCCTCCCCTGTCACTCTCCCATGCTTGATACACAACCTTCTCCTGGGATCCAGTAGTCTGAAAGGGAGGCTGGCCACGGGCAGGTGCCACACGATGCCTTTAGCATGGACACACTGGGTCCTTGACAGGTTTTGCATTTATAATACGTGTTACTTATCTTTTCTCATGAGTAGGGGATAGGAACATCCTTATTATCAACAGCGTCATGCCCCAATATAGAAATACTTAGTGTGTGTAGGAACTTTTTAAGATGCGTCTTATATTACAAGTAATATGATACTTTCAGTTAATTGCTAATTAAAAAAAAACTGATGATTTTCTTTAGCAGTCATTTTCATGTTAATATCAGCATCATTAAAAATTATGAATGGCCTGAAGCATTGAGAAGAGTGCAGTGGATTATGATTAGCACACCCTCATGGTAAGGAAGCAGATGGTCTCTGTTATATTCCCATGGGAGACTTCCCTATGTGCTGCCCATTTACATCCATGTACACAATGTGACTTCTACAACCGTTCAGGCACAGGTCAGGACTCGGGGCTACCGCTTCCCTTTCCTAGTCCCAGGATAAGCTTTATCTTTGCGAGGCAGCCTTCCTTGCCTGCCGCCTTCATCTCTGAACTCATGGGCACATGTGTTAGGAGCATTAGGTTTGGGGACTATTTTAGATTGCTGCATTGTACTCTATAGAGAGCACGTAGCAGATTGGGTAGGCCCAACTTCAAGTAACTTCTCATACATTATTGATATTATCAGAAGCGTGGCCTTCATTGTATGCTTCTAAATGTGTTTCCTAAGAAATGACATTGAGTTGCAGCCTGGTCTAGAACAAGATGTTGTCCTGGGTTCAGAAAGTAGAACCCCCTCCTCAGGTCTAGTTCTCAGCAAGTGACATCCAGAGGGTGGCTGGAATGCTTTGTCAGGTTCTGGGGATGATGCAGAGGTAGAGCTGCAGAAATGTATTTTAAGTTTCCATGCCTTGTTTATCACTAAAGAAAAGGGAAGAGCCTCGTTTTGTGTTTTTTCAAAAACTTTTCCTTGTTCATAAAAATACTATTTGAGAAAAGATTCCTAAGAAAAATTAAGTAATTTATTTAACTTGATACTCTTTTTACCAAAGATTTCTGATAACTAACTAAAAGAAATGAACATTGCATTAATTTTTAGCATACAGTTTTTTTTTTGTTTATAACAGTCATTTTTGTGGGGGGTATGTTTTAGGGCATCATTCAGAAGATAGTGGACAGTCACAAAGTAAAGCACGTGGCCTGCTATGGATTTCGCCTCAGTCACCTGCGGTCAGAGGAGGTTCACTGGCTCCATTTGGATATGGGTGTCTCCAATGTGAGGGAGAAGTATGAACTTGCACACCCACCAGAGGAGTGGAAGTAAGATTACATACCTACTTTGGTGTGACTCACACTTGATTTGTTTTGCATATTAAATCACACACAAGAGGATGAATGTCTTTGCTTAATTTTCATACTGATTGTAATTACGACTCCTGTATAAATAAAATTGGCTGGTAATGATTAACCAGTGATCTCTTCTAGAATTCTGTTCAGTCTGTCTTTGTGGCACCACCGACTTTGTACTGCCTGAGCTTCTGATGGGTTCTGTGGTGATGGCTTTTGGCTAGTCACACCTCTCTTGTCAGCACTACTTTATTTCAGCCTCGGCTCGAAGAGCTCAATTCCTCATTCTTTTCCTTTCTGTCCTGTTAGCATCCTTTTGTGCAGCAGGACTTCATGAGCCCTGAGGAGACCACACCTAATTATCTCATTAATGGGCAGCATGGCTTGCTCCATGGTGCCTGGTAACCTCCGGCTCACCTGAAAAGAGTGGGTGTATATTTGACGTTCATGTACTAGAATTAAATTAGGTAGTGACTCGTACTGACCTCAGTGAAACTGACATGATTGAAGGTGAATTAAAAGAATTCTCTACAATTGTCCTTTCTCTGGTTCTCTCCCAAAAAATAATTTTTTCCACTGTTAAGCAAAGCAGCATGTTAACAGGAAACCGTATGTGTAAAACATTGGAGTGTGAGAGAAGGAGGGCCCCGTGCACAGGCGCCCTCGTGTTTGTAGACAGAGCCACAGAGACAAAGGCGGTTGTGGATTGGGGACGGCGCTCAGTGTTGGTCACTTTCAGTCCAGCAACGTAAATTGATTACAAGACACATTTGAAAAGAAAAACAAACATGCGAAGGTTAATAAATCTCTAGTCGAATACAATCTTGTCCTAGTTACAGTTTACCAGAGAAATATACTTGTATTTTCAGGTTTATCAAACAGCTGGAACTGACCGAGCTGACAGGATATTTCATGATAATATAGTTGGGTTGGATTACATCAAGGGCTAGCAGATTTGACCTCCAGCTATTTAGCCAGTCAATCAAATAAGTGTTTAAAAGCTAAGAATACCTAAAAGTTAGTTAAAAATACCTGCAGGTATTTTTTTTTTTAAAGATTTTATTTATTTATTTAACAGAGAGACAACTAGAGAGGGAACACAAGCAGGGGGAGTGGGAAAGGGAGAAGCAGGTCTCCTGCGGAGTGGGGAGCCCGATGCGGGGCTCGATCCCCCAGGACCCTGGGATCATGACCTGAGCCGAAGGCAGATGCTTAACGACTGAGCTGCCCAGGCGCCCCCCTGCAGGTATTTTTATTCAACATAGCTATTACCTTCTTAATTTATATGGACGTGTCAGAGGCACACTTCATTATGATGGTATTCCTAGTGCTCAGTAAAATGTTTGTTGAATGTAGACCTCTGAATATACACACTCTGTTTCTTTTCTTCTAAGCCAATTTATTTTGCTTAATTTCAAGTAAAGTTGAGTGGGCACTACTCTCTTTCATGGAGCCTGAACCCTCAAAAGCAAGGCAGGCATAGACCGGGCGAGGTAGAACTTTGCCAAATGCAGTGCTGAACCTGACGCTGACAGAGGTGTGAAGATGACACCATTGCTGTATCGTCACCGCGGAGTGGCTGGAGCCAGGCGCCAGGCCAGCTGTGTGCTCTCTATAATCTGAACAGTTGCAGCTTGTAAAATGTATATGTCACAGAGCTCCCCCCAATCTTATGAGGTAAAGACAGAGGAAACAGGCAACAAACTTGACTTAAGTTCCAATTACAGAGAGAGCTCGGGACACAGCTTTGACTTGAATGTAGCTGACTTCATAGTGCAGGCTTTTAAAATGAACATGCTCGTCTCAGGAGGGCTACTGTAGTCTTAGCTCCGAGAGGTAGCCTACCTGGCGGGGTAAGATCAGTGAAGGTGTGTGGACAATAGGCTGGAGGCACAGGTGGTCCCTGTGGGTGTTTCTGGGAGGATCAGGCTTCATACTGCCTGTCTGTGCCCGCCAAAGGAGGTGGAGCTTAAAGTGTCAGTAAGGAACAGGAGACTATTCTAAAAGGAACCAAGTAGATTTGAAAAAGGACCAAACACAAGTTCTGGAAACCACTGGATGTATAAAACAGCAAATTAGATATAGCTGAAAAATTAGTAAATAGAGCTGTGGATCTGTGAAAATTTTCCCACAAGACAGCATACAGAGATCAACATGTGGAAGGTATGAAAGCATGTTGTGTAACATGAAGAATGAGAAAGTCAACCCATTTCTGGAAGGGGCTCTCAAAGAGAATAGAAAGAATGAGGAAAAGGAAATAGTCCAAAGAGATAATGGCTGAGAATTTTCTAGAAATGGCGAATACCATAAGTCCTCAGGTGTAGGACTAACATAAGATCCCAAACAGGGTTAATGAAATAAATCTACACTTTGGTGGATTATAGTCAAATAGTGTACAAAAGAAAAAGATGATGCTAAAAGCAACCAGGGAAAAATTCACAATTCTCCACGGTTCTGTCCAAATGGTGAGAAAAAGTACCTGGCAACCTGTATTTATTCGTCAGATTCAGTTACCATTCAAGAGCAGGGTGACAGAGGTACTTTCCTCAGAGAGTTTACCACCAAAGGAACCTCCTACAAATATACTTCAGGAAAAAGGAAAGGAAAGTGATTTATGAAGGAGGGTTTCAGATGCAAAATCGGGTAGATAAAAATAAGCATTGGCTCTAGAGCAAAACAAATAACGAGAAGAACTGATTTTTTTATTAAAGAAGTAGAAACCAAATAGTGGATGCATGTCAGAAGAGAGGTGATCAGAATTAAAGTTCTGTCAGCCATGTTTTAAAATTATGTATAAATAAATAAAAAATAAAATTGTAAATTAGGACAGCTGTGAAACATTAAGAGGTAGATTTTATAACCTAAACAGCTGGGTGGGTGAGTAGGGGTTAGGGAAACACAGCAAGGAGAGAAGGAAGGGCCTGGAAAGCAGGACTGGGAGGAGTCACCGACCAGGCTTTGGAAGTAAACTCAAGCAGACTAACAGTAACTGGTCAGAGATTGTTAGCGTGTGATTAAAAAAGAGAAGCCAGCTATCTGCTCTTTATGACGGGTATCTAAAACAGTGATGTTGAAGACATTTTTGTGTGACTTCCAAGAAGAAACATTTTACCTTGAGATTGAGTACACATGCATATATATGTGTCTCAGAACTATTTACATACAGGTCTACATATGTACTTCACAAAACCATACCCAGCCTCACCAGTACACTGAAGTCAAAGGTTTTCATCCAGAGGCATTCTATTCTGTTTAACTTCATTTAGATAGATGGATGGTGGGCGGGTGGATATATGGATGGTTGGATGGATGGATAGAGAGATGGATGGATAGATGGATAGATGGATTGAAAGATGGGTGGATGGATAGGTGGATAGATGGATGGACAGATGGACAGATAGATACAGAGAGAAAGGGATGGATGAATAGATGGATAGAAAGATGGATGGATAGAGATGATGGATGGATGGAAGGAAGGAAGGAAGGAAAGATGGATAGGTGGATGGATGGTTGGATGGATAGAGAGATGGATGGATAGATGGATGGATGGATTGAAAGATGGATGGATGGATAGGTGGATAGATGGATGGACAGATGGGCGGGTAGATAGAGAAAGGGATGGATGAATAGATGGATAGAAAGATGGATGGATGGATAGAGATGATGGATGGATGGAAGGAAGGAAGGAAAGATGGATAGATGGATGGTAGGTGGATGGATGGTTGGATGGATGGATAGAAGGGTGGATGGTAGGTGGATGGATGGAGAGATGGATGGTGGGTGGATGGATAGAGAGATGGGTGAATGGATAAATGGATAGAGAGGGATGGATGGATGGATAGAAAGAAAGAAGAATTTTCCTACCTACTAACCAGGGAGATGAGGGGATTGGTATTGCTTTATTAATATCCTATTTAAAAAGTTTCAAGATAGAAAAGCATTCTTAGGGATATGGAGGGCAGCCACATAGTAATAACAGGCTCATTTCACAAGAATTTATGAAGAGTAGAAACAGATGGAACTATTAAACTTGTAAGTTCCTAAAGACATTTCTCAAAATATATAAAGGAAAAATAGTAATAAATGAATAAAACTTACCTCTCCTAATAATTAAAAAGAAAACAAACAATAGTAAGTAAACAATTTTTAAATTATGTTTTTCACTATCCCTTTTAATGTGGAAATATGGAGTTCTGCACATGACGGTGTGTTAATCAGTTTGAAAACACATTCCTAAATAGTTCATGGTTCAAGGTAAAACTCACAGTTTGCTGAGGGTCTGACTGTGCTGCCTTGTTGTACACCCCCCATGGGCCCTTCCTGTTTGTCCCCCAGTCCACCTTCCTGCAGGAGCTGACGCTGTCAGTCTTTTCTCCCTGACGACCTTCTACACTTCGCTTCCTGCCTGCCCGGTCCTCCTATTTTATGGACCGTTCACTGTTTTCCCCTGCTTAGCATTTAAATTTGGGGGCTGCTCCAGTGACCTCTTTCCCTCTTTCTTCTCTCTGTAGACCTGCCTTTGGCATTGAAATCACACTTTCATTGGATAGATACAGGAAACTAATAAACCAGTCACTGCCTAACCCAGACAAAAATCCTAAAAGCTGGTGGCTTGGGGGAGCAATAATAGAAGGAGGGAGAAGCCGTTGTACAAGGATTTTTTTAAGACAGAGCTCGGAGGATTTGCTGAAGAGTCTTTAAAAATACACACATCCAATGAAATATATAAACCATTTCTGCAGAAGCTTCTGTAGCTCCTCCTCGTACCTTCAGCCAACTCTGGAGTCCTGATCATCTCTCAGCCCCGTCCCCTCCCGCTCTCGCTCCCCTTCCTGTGCCCCAGTGGCTCGTGCTCTGACATTCGTGTGCTCCCTTTTCAGAGCTACTGGGTCCAGATCTTCTCTGCTGCCAGCTTTCTTGCCCGGTGAATGAGACAGACTTTTATCTTGGAGAACTTTCCACCTGCTCCACCC